TCTTCCCCTATTGCTACCAATTCCAAATAAAGGTATCTCTGTCACTTGTTTCATTAGAAACCTACATCACAGGCAATGCCTCCTTCTCACCCCACCCTCTGCCTCCCAGCTCTCGGTTGATACCCCGAATTGCATTCCCTCACTCACTTCTTAGGGGAACCCCCTCCATACTCGTGATTCTGTTTCTGAGAGCTGGCTTCTGTGAGTTGCGGAGGGCGAGAAAAGGAAATGGAAACTGCTGAATCAGTCAGTATTCTGGTTAGGGGCATCCTCTGCCTCTGTGATTACTGCACAGTGTGTTATAATTAGTTATCTATGCAACTTTCTCTTAAAAAATCTAGACCATGTCCTGTTGATTTTATTTTAGTTTATTTTTCTCAAGAAATTTACAGTTTAATGAAGGCAATGTGGGAGTTTGGAAACAAACTTTTATTTCGTGCTAATGATAGATTAGCAACTACACAAATTTTAGTTCACAATAAGTAATATTTACTGAGAGACCACCATGCACCAGTTTCCACAATAGGGATTTACGTATTTGAACTGTTACTCTTCAAAACAGCCCTATGATTTAGTTGCCATTATACTTTCTCAGTTGAACAGGTGAAGAAACCAAAGTAAATAGAGGTTAAGCAATTTTCCTAAGGCCATAAAGCTGATGACTAGCAGAGCAGGGATTTAAATCCAGGTAGTCTGACTCTAGGTACCACACGCTACACGTTCTGTACCACAACTTATTATATTTGATCCTCACAACAATCGTATAATGGCAGATTTTTTTAGAATGTCTTCTTAGATTTTAAACCAACTTCAGATCATGTCTTGTTGGTTGATTTAAACCAAATCCTAGCACATGATGATTATAACATGATGAGCCTCCAGACCTAGTCTCTATCTCTTATTATTGTGGTCTTTATAATAAAGGTGATTTATTGAATATATAATTCTATTTCAGTGTTTATATATTTGTAAGACTTTATCAGTCCCCAAACCAGGACATATATCCCTTTGCCATGTGTTTTTGCTTGGAGTGAAATATGGTTGCATACGCAGCATGTGCTTAATTTATATACCTTGAATGAATAATGTAAAGGAGATGTAAGACGGGGTTGAATTGGGAGGGTCTTAGGCATTTCCTAGGTGGTAAATTGATGTTCCCACTTGAAATAATGTACTCAGGGTCATGCAAATGGAATTGGTCAGTTTTATATTCCACTATCTGTGTTAGTTACCAGTGTATCTCTAGTGATAATCACGAACCTGACATATAGTGAAGCATAATAATCTATTTGATTAATAAATAAATCACTAATTTGACTAACAATATGTGTTATGCCTGAACTCTCACTATGGAGTTGAAATACTAATGGGAAGGGTAGGATAAGAAAGGCCATGGTGAGCGGGAGTGGGGAGAGGATCAAGAAAATAACTAATGGGTACTAGGCTTAATACCTGCGTGATGAAATCATTTGTACACCAAACCCCCATGACACAAGTTCACCTACGTAACAAACCTGCACATGCATCCCTGAACTTAAAATAAAAGAAACACACACACACACACACACACACACACACACACAAAATCAGGAGAGAGAGTCAGAAGTGTGACTGGTCTCCAGAGCTGAGGAAGAATCTTTAAATAAAATGAGAATTGAAGCCAGGCATGGTGGCTCCATGCCTGTAATCCCAGCACTTTGGGAGACTGAGGTGGGCGGATCATCTGAGGCCAGGAGTTTGAGACCAGGCTGGTCAACATGGTGAAACGCTGTCTCTACTAAAAATACAAAAAGTAGCCAAGCATGGTAGCACATGCCTGTAGTCTCAGCTACTCGGGAGATGGAGGCAAGAGAATCACCTGAACCCAGAAGGTTGCAGTGAGCCGAGATTGCACTCCAGCCTAGTGCAACAGAGGGAGATTGCACTCCAGCCTAGGCGACAGAGGGAGACTCTGTCTCAGAAACAAAAAAAAAGAATTGATGGTCCCAATAAAGATATAATTTGAAAGAGAAATGTAAATTAAACTTATAGAAAGACATTTTCAGTAACTTGGATATAAAGGTTACGATTTGCTTTAAAGAGAAAGGAAAGAAGAAAGAAAGGAAGGAAGGAAGAAAGGAATGAAGGAAGGAAGGAAGGCAAGCAGAAAGGAAGGAAGGGAAGGAAGGAAGGAGAGAAGGAAGGAAGGAGAGAGAAAAAGAAAAAGAAAGAAAAGGAAAGAAAGGGGAGGGAGGGGGAGAGAGAGAAAGAAAAAAGAAAAACGGAAAGAAGAGGGAGGGAGAGAGAGAAAGAGAAAGGAGGGAGGGAGAAAGAGAAAGGAAGGAAGGAGAGAAAGAAAGAGAAAAGGAAACAAAGGAAGGAAAAGGCCATGGTGTCACAGTCTTGATCTTTGGGAAACTGACCACCGAAGATTCCTCAGGTGGTGGTGACAGAAAGTAGCCGGCAGTCAACACCGTGGACCCTTCAGCATGGAGGGATTTGATTTGTGTCCCAGCGTTCTGGCTCATTTCAGCCTATGTGAGGCTCCACCTCAGTCCAGCAGAGCGTCCCAGTTCAGAGTGCAGGGAATCCTGGCTGAGCAGTTTGTCCTCTGCGGCGTCTTTGCCTTGCACTGCTCGGCTTGCCTCCCCACTGTGCGCTGCTGCCCATGCTCTCTAGTGCAGGGCATTGCTTTCCTTCCAGATTCAGGCCCTGAGGCTGCACTTCCCCAGGTGTTCCCCTCCGCTCGCTCCTTTGGCAGCAGGCGCCCCAGGGATGGGTTCACTGATAATGACACCCTGTTCGGCCCAGCTTTGGCATTCTCTTCTCATATGTGGTCTGCGTGGTCAGGTTGCAGCAGGTGTGGGTCCTGCCTTTTAGGCAGAAGCAGCAGCCTGGAGTCCCCTGTCTTGCATCTTAGACAGACAATGTCTCATTGACACAGCCCCCTCTTTCCACAGCCAGCCCCTTGTTTCCTGTCCCGAGTCCTTGTTATTTTCTCTGGCCATTTCTTGCATGTAGGTCAGGGCGTATGTCTTGGTACTGGATCTGATCCCTCTCCCGGTCCCTTGCCCCTTCTTCCATATTCTCTAGGCAATAAAAGGTGCCTCTTCCTATCAATCTTCCAAGCCAGAAAGCTGAGAGTCACCCTTGTCACCTCTTTCTCTGTCACCTCCTACACCTGTTCAATCACCAACTCTAGTCTACGTTCAATTTTATGTGCGTCTGCCTCTCACCATTCCCACTGCCTCTGTATTAGGTCAGGTTCTTATGGATTCTCACCATGACAACTAGAAGAGGGTCCTAGCAACTGTTTTTTCTTCAAGTTTTGTCTCTTATTTATTTATTTATTTATTTTGAGACAAGGTCTTACTCTGTGGCCCAGGCTGGAGTGCAATGGCTCAATCTTGGCTCACTGTAACCTCTGCCTCCCAGGCTCACGCAATTCTGGTGCCTCAGCCTCCCAAGTAACTGGGATTACAGGCATGTGGCACCACACTCAGCTAATTTTTTGTATTTTTCGTGGAGATGGGGTTTCACCATGTTGGCCAGGCTGGTCTTGAACTCCTGGCCTCAAGTGATCTGATCTGCCTGCTTCAGCCTGCCAAAGTGCTGGGACTACAGGCGTGAGCCACCACGCCTGGCCTAGTTTTGTCTCTTTTTAATTTATCCCACCATGCAGCATCCAATATAATTTTGCTAAAGCTCAAAATCATTCTGTTTCTCTCCTTTTAAAAATCTTGCAAACATTCTGCATCGTTTCTGGCATGAAATGGAAGCTTCTCTGTAACCTGACCCCTGTCTACCTCTCTGGCCTCGTAGCTTGCCACGCTGAGACTTCCTGAAAACCAAGACTCAGCCTTTTGGTACTACTTGTGGTTCCTTAAATGTGCAATTCTCTTCCCTGATTTTAATGAAGGAGGTGCCCACTTGGTAAAGCACAATTTCCCCTTGTTGTAAACCACAGGGCAGAGTGTAATACTATGAATGTGGGCCCATCCCATGACAACTGCAGGGATTCATATTTAGAACAATTAAGAAAAAACACTATGTAATTTCCCAGTTTTTCGTTTCTTTTCTTTTCTTTTTTTCTTTTTCTTTTTTTTTTGAGGGAGTCTTGCTCTGTTGCCCAGGCTGGAGTGCAGTGGGGCCATCTCAGCTCACTGCAACCTCCGCCTCCCGCTCCCCCTGCCCCCGGGTTCAAGAGATTCTCCCGCCTCAGCCTCCCGAGTGGCTGTAATTACAGGCATGTGCCACTATGCCTGGCTAATTTTTGTATTTTTAGTAGAGACACGGTTTCACCATGTTGACCTGGCTAGTCCCGAACTCCTGACCTCAAGTGATGCACCTGCCTTGGCCTCCCAACATGCTGGGATTATAGGTGTGAGCCACCAAGCCCAGCCTGTAATTTCCCAAATTTTCTAAGAAAAAGAGAGAAATCTGTGGATCTTGCTGTTCAAAGACATGCAAAATGCAAAACAGAAAAGACATTTTACATTAGAATAACAGAAACTTTGGCTGTTATGCTTTTAACATAAATTTATAATACAGCACACTTCCCTTTTCTGGTTTATTCATGCTCTAGAGCCAGACGTCTTGGCTTCAGCTTCAAATCTGTTGTGTGTCAGCTGTGTGTTTTTCCATAGGTTACATACCTCTCTGTGCTTCAGTTTCCTCGTGTGTGAAAGGGGATAGTTACAGCACTTACCTCAGAGGGCCACTGTGAAGATTAAATGCATTAATATCTATGCGAGGCAGAGAACATTACCGGTTCATAGTAAGTGCCATGTTAAGTGCTATCTACTATTATTACTATTACCATTTTATTATTATTGAAATATTTCAATACATCCATTTTACATAAAAAACAAGTGCAGGTCTCTTGTTCTTTGCCTATATACCCCTATGTCTCTCTTTGCCTGGCTAATCTCAGTTCAATCTATAATAGAGAATAGTTAGAGCCATGTAAATGTACTGATGTGAATAGCAAAATGATTAAATGCAACTTTTGGTATATCTATGCAATAAAATATCAGGCATATACTCATGCCATTTTTGAGTAATATTTAAATTTGTAATGACACAGAAGATTAAGTAACAATACGATATACTAGTTCTTGAAAGAATGTTAAGTACCAATAATAAAATATAAAACTAGGTACAGAATAATAGGGCAATTTTAATTTTCTTATTTATGCCTCCCTATATTTTCTCAATTTTGTACAATGACCATGTATATTTTCTATAAAAGAAAACCAAACTAATGTAATTTTTTTTTTTTTT